CTCCCCCCACCCATTGTCCTCCTGTTTTCTTCTTTTTCTGCCCTGTACGTTTATAATATTTTGATTATAATCATCATCTACACCACGCATGGCTGGGCCGCAATGAATGGAAAGCAAACATTTGAGCACTCAGAGCTCCCGAGCATCCTGCGAAAATCGCTCTTTTGAGGATACCTCAAGCTTTGGTGCCATTCAAGGCTGACTTCAGCATTTTAAGAACAATACATCTTATTTACATTTTTATTCTAACACATTAGAGATACATAAATTATTTTAAAGACCAGAATTAAGCCTAGTGAGCAAACCACCTTTTAAATATATGTATATTGAATACTACTATCCACAGAGAGTTTTTCAACATTAAACTTTCATGTTGTTAACTAGAAGTTGTAGAAAATGTTTATTTAACTCGGATAAAGAATTTTCTTATTATTTACCGTATAAAGAACATTTTTTCTTTTAAAAAATATTATTTGCTTTTAATGTAAATTGTTACTCCAAAAAGTAGCTCGGGCAGTTTGTCTATTTTCTAGGGTTATTTTCTTTATTGTTTTATTTTTACAATCCCCATTCATGCTATAGAAAAAGGGCATATGGCTCACGAACCAAGCGCAGGCCACCCATGTCGAGCTCTAATTGCTCTTTACGTATCGCCATCAATACAACCAACAAGTCTTGTATTTTAAATTCTCCCATCATGAATTAAAACGCTGAAAATCACTGAAAAATGCCAATTTGAACCCAGGCATGACCTAAAAGACATTGTTATGTAAAAATGTTGCAAATCGTTTTGAAATGAAAATGCCAGGTACAGCACCACCTTTTCTTCTTACAAATCGTAATCTAAAACGCTAAAATAAAAACAAAACAATTTTTTTTACAAAATCCTCACCGTCTCTTAATCGAGACAATCAGATTTGAGTCAATGTGTGTTGATTTAATTGATGTAATTCTTAGTGAGTTTTCGGAAATTTCCCTTACGTCCTCTGGGAATTCCCGTAACTCGCTGATGCTGGAAACATGATTAGCATTGTGTGGATGAGAAGATTTTTACACCGGCTATCAGATTCGCCTCCGACCGGTCTCCAGCGGCACATAATTTTATACCCAGATCAATGTTACCTTTGCAGATAGACAGGACAAACAAAGTTTCCGCAGTAAAGCTTAATGGAAACAACGGACGCAGAGCGAACTTTATTGCCTTCACAAAAGTCGTTGCTGCACTGGTGGAGGACAGCCTATTTTCCCCACGTACGTGATCAAACCGTGCTTTTTGAACGAATGTTGAGAGGCAGGCAATCAGCAATTACCATCAGGTCGGGTTATGCATACTCCTTTTTTTTATTTTGAGCTCGCCCTTGCTCTCTGTGTGTCTCTGTTTCTGTCTATGTATACCGCTACCACAGTATTACAAAGTTCTATCTGCTCAGTTCTAGTTTTGATAAATTTAGCGTCAAAGATTTTGAGTTTCACATCATGTCAGGATGTTTCGAATGCAATACTTTGAGTGTGTTGATAACTAATCCGAAAAAATCTTACGATTTTGACGAAGCAGATTGAATATTTGGTTTCTGACGTCATGATCTTAGTAACTCAG